TTCCTGAGGCCTAGAGTGTCCTCTTGCTCCTCTCTTTGCCTGCTGGATATCTACCTATCCTTTAATGCCAGCTCCAGGATACCTCGTCCATAAATCTAATTCTGAACCACATCCCCTAGTGGTAATAACCTTCACAAAGCACTTCTTGGGCAATATTTTGTACTGTAGTGTGACCTAATGTTTGTGTCTTGTTCTCCTGTAATAATGATGATGATGCTTGCAAGTTCTATGAGAGTAGGGATAGTTCTCTCAGTGTCTTGAATAATAAGTTTCTCAGTGTCTTTAACTGAAAGTTTAATAAAGATTTTTGTTTAATAAAGATTTTTTTGACTTACTGAATTAAGGGAAGCAGGGACCCTGTCTATCCCTATTTGAAAAAAAAATTCCCCACAGTGCCTAGCTATTCAATTCAACAAACCTACTATGTGCAAGATGCTTTATGTGAGTCTTTAAAAGATTCATTTCTACATGAATCTGAGCCATTCTTGGTGGGGGTAGTAGCAGGGAAGAGATAGTCTTTCACAAGTAATATAAAATATCAAACTCAACTTTACTATCATGCAATTTATTGGAAGATTTATTTTGTTGATTATGGAAAAAATCACCATTTAATTCAATAGATCAAAATACCTCTTCCAAGGTGTCTTTTGTAATCATTTAAGTTTACTTGAAAGATATAACATCAAAAATTCAGTAACCCTCTGATCATAAATTTGGGCAGCTAGGTGATGCAGCGGATACAACACTGGGCTTTGAGTCCAGAAGCCCTAAGTTCAAATTTAGCCTCAACACTTACTAGTTGTGTGAGTCTGGACAAGTCACTTAACTCTGTTTCTTTTAGTTTCCTTATCTATAAAACGATCTGGAGAAGGAACTAGCAAACCACTCCAGTATTTTTGCCAATAAAACCCCAATTGGGGTCATGAAGAACAGCTGAACAGCAACAATAGCTTATCATAAATATCAGAAGAGGTATAGAAGAGGGATATCTATGTGCAACAGAAGTGTTTGCCACTGGGTGGGAGAGATCCAGAATAGTAGTCCTAATTGAAGGAGGATTTCCTGACAATCATTAGGGCAAGAAGTAAGATATGAGAGTAATATGAAGAAGTATAATCTAGTGCCCCACTGTCAGTGTAGGTCCTCCAGATGCCGTTGTTTGCAGATGACATTGTGCTAGTAGCAGCAAGCCCTACAGCATTGTAGAGCCTTTTGGGAGAGATCTGTAATGCCTGAAAAGAGTTTTGCCTGGCTATCTATCCAGGAAAGACAAGTGGATGAAGAACATATATTACCCAGATGATGGCATAAAATTAGATGGAAAACCTAGAGAACTTAGCCAAGAGTATATATACATATATCTATATCTGTATCTATGTATCTGGGATGGAGAATACAAAGAGTTGATGAGTTGGGCCCAAAATAAACAGAGGGAGGAGAGCCAGTGAGCAGACTGCTTTAAGGAAACCACATTTCAGAAACAAAGGCCCATCTTTTCAAACCAATATTTTATCAGTGGTGTTCTAAGCCTTAGAATGCAACCATTTCTAAAGACTAGAAAATGAGTTGTATAAAAGGTGAAGGAAAGGTATATGGTGGGTAGGAGAAACATGTAACCAATGAGAAACTTCGAAGAAGAGCAAGAGTAAGAGATAATGTCAGAAAAATGTATGATAAGAAGAGAAGAGGAGTTGGGTTTCTGGTTAAAGAAATAACACATGGACAGTTTGAGTGCCTCACTAGTGTCTTCACAATGTCAGGAGGAAGGGAGAATGTTCTCCAGTACAACTGTTGAACCACCTGTCATGAATTATGGGAAAATACAGGCATAGGCAGATAAAGATTCCTGTATCCATTACTGGAGCAAGCATCCAGCTATAGATCATAGATTTATTTGAGGATGTGTGTGTGTGGCACTATGCTAGTCTGTGCAGCTACAAAGACAAGAATGGAATTGGTATCGTTCTGCAAGAAGCTTGTATTTCACCGAGAACTTATATATTTATTGAATTGATTTATGTGACTTTGAGGAAGTTCCTTAATTCACTCAACTTACTTGTACAATGCATATATAATGATAACTACCAAGTAGAGTTGCACCATGATGGTTGTTTTTATTTATTTCATTTATCGTGTTTCTAATGAGTCAACCAGATATTTCAGTTCAATCATTCTTTGACAATATTTCAAGTTCTATAGAACAAAGGAGCTATTGAAATGGGAGTCCAGGTTGTGATCAGAAAAAGCAGGACCTAACAGCAAGTGGTTTTTTTTTTTGGACTACTCTGTATGTCTGTGACACAGACACAGGTGAAGTGCAATGATTTTTTTGGAATTTTTAGAGAAGCAAATATAGTCCTTATTTTTCACATGATATCTTTTCATCTTGAGAATGCCTTCAGTATCTAATTACCCTGTCCTCTCAACTTCTGATGGTACTCTGGGCTTGAGGAATGCTTTTTTTTCATCTTCTGAATTGAATGTTGTCAGCATTCATTAATTAACTGATTTGAACAACCCAACTGTGAGGTAATAAAAATGAAAACATTTGTGTTTTTTTCTTTTTACTCATTTCTAATTGCATTTACCACACACAATTTTAATTTAATTGAATGCTTGAAAACAAATCGGAAGAAAAGGAGATGAGTTTTGTTAGCCTCTAATTCTTTGTGTTTAGATTTGCTTGACTGCAGAGTATAAGAAAAGGTAGATATTTCTGAAATTGAAATATCAAACAAGCAAAAATTTTTGCTTAGAGAGACAGACAGACAGAGAGAGACAGGTTGAATGAATGATTCTGGGAAGAAGGTGACTTGTAGAGAAGCTGGTCAAGAGTTCTCTCTTCCCAAGCTCTCAATAACTTACCCATCATGCAGGTACAGATCATTACTAATCAGATTCCAACAAGGAAGAAAATCTTATACAATGAAATTTGAACCTCTCTACAATAGGATTATAAATTTAGATTGGAAAGGACCCTAGTGGTCATCTTGTTCTTGAAGAAAATGAGACCTAGAGAGATTGTGACTTGCCTAAGGTAGGGAGTGACATGGTAACATCTACACTTAAGGACAGTCACTTTGGCAGCAGTGTGGAGTATTGATCAGAGAGGAAAGAGGCTTTTGGTAGGCCATTGTCACAGTACAGGAAGGCAATGATGAATGAAGATGGTGGCTGTCAGAGAGTTTGATGTAAGAGATGTTATGGAGGTAAAAAGACAAGGTTTGGTAACTGATTGGATATGTGGGATGAAAAAAAAAAGGTAACAAACCTGGAAGACTTGACTGAAATAGGGAAGTGGAAGGGTGAGTTTAGAGAGGTAAAGGTCTTGGTTTTAGATTTGTTTGACACTAACCTCTTATGAATTCTATATGCTCTCACAAATCTGAATGGCTCAAACATACTCCTCACTTTCTTGGCTCCATGTTTTTGTTCAAGCTATTTTCTTTTCATGAGGCATTGTGATATAATGGGAAAAAAAACCCACTAGAGTTGGAATAAGAGGATCCAGGTCCAAATTATGATATGGCCTTGGGCAAGTCACTCTTTGGGTCTCAGTTTCCTCATTTGTAAAATGAGGGAGTTGGATTAGAGAACCATTAAGATTCTTTCCTTCTCTAAATCCATAATTTTATGATGCTTTCCAGCTCTAGATCCTATAGAGCTGTCCCTCCCCTGAAGCCCCACTAATCTGCTTATTCAAGAGAGGGAGGACAGATGGACAGCTCAAATGCTCTACTGAATTCCTCAGTGTCAGGAGAAAGCAGCCTATCCACCCAGCTCAAACTTTAATTTTTCTAAGAAACCTTCCCTGAATTTCCTCAAACAGATGTGATCCATCCTTCCACTGAGCTCACTTGATTTTTTATTTTGCTTCTGACACGTCCTATTTTCTCTTGTACAGTCACTGTTGGTGTACCTGTAGCCCCTCTATTAGATTGTAAACTCCTTGAGGTTGAAATTGTGTTAGTTTTCATCATTTGTACCCTCCATAGAATCTGGTACAGGGTGATGCCCAGGGTATGTACTCTATAAATATTTACTGAATGGACTTGAATTTGTGGCTTTTGAAGTACCCTTTTCCTTCCATTTCCAAAAATGGTACATGTGGATGTGTATATGTTTGTGCGTGTATGTATACACACATACATACACACATAAACACATCTATATCTATCATATATACATACATACACACACATACATACACACACACATATATATGTAAATCAATCTATCTATCTATCTATCTATCTATCTATCTATCTATCTATCTATCTATCTATCTATCCATGCTTAAATTTCACTTAGTCTTGGGAATTTTACAATACCCCTGGAGGGATACGGAGATATCTGAAGTGAGGTCACTTCTATACTCTAAAATTCTCATTGATTTTAGGGTTGAGAATCCCTGTAGGACTGGAAGTACTAAAAATAAATTTCATGTTAAAGAGCTCTCAAAATAATATATGTTTAAGTAGCAATCAGGAATGGAAGAGGAAGGGAAGGGTATTTGCTATATGAAGATTGAATAAAATGTTCTAAGAGTCAGACAGGGCATCTAGGAGCTCTGGGCCTGGAGTCAGGAAGACCTGAGTTTAAATCCAGCCTCAGACACTTACTAGCTGTATGACCCTAGGCAAGTCACTTAACCCTGTTTGCCTCAGTTTCCTCATCTGTAAAGTGAGCTGGAGGAATGGCAAATCACTCCAGTATTTTTGCCAAGAAAACCCTAAATGAGTTCTCGAAGACTGGGACATGACTAAAAAGGACTAAACAACACCAAGGTCAGAAAGTAGCAAGGGCAGGGTCCACCAGAGCCATGAAAAAATAGTCAATGATGTATTAGCCCAGAAGGGGAAAACAGAAAGGGAAGGGGTGTGTGTGTGTGTGTATGTGTGTGTGTGCTCTCACATGTGTGTAAATAAAAGCTTTTGTTCCTTTTCCAACATACCCTTTGCAAGATAGTTGATTGCTACTTCTTTTTCTTTCTGTGACAGGAAACAGAAGAAAAAGCATACGAAGAGATTGAAAGAAAGGTTTGTATTAATACATCCTGTAGATTTATTTCTCCTCTACTGAAGAGTGGGATTTTGGTTTCTAAACTGTATATGGTAGAATAGTCATATGGGATAATATTTACAAAAGTACTCTGTGAGAGTAAAGCATGATATCATTTTAAGCCATTGTTATTATTACTATTATTTTTCTCATGATCATAACTATATTTATTATAATACAGTATACTATAGCAGGTAGGCAGATGACCTTAGAATCTGGAAAATCTGGGTTCAAGTCCTACTTCTGTTACCCACAGGTGACCAGGTTGTGAACCTAACTGCTTAGTGCCCTGGGTAATTCTTTAAGATAAAGATGTAGAACTGTTGAAGATCTACTTTGGTAGAAGGAATTTCTTTATGGGCAGTTTCCTATCCCAATGAAATCACAGATCCCGAAAAGATGATGATGATGATAGTAATAATAATTAATATTCATATCACATATTATTATATATTATAAGGGTTATGGTACTATTGGGGAAAGATGATGACTCTAGTGAGGTAGTTATGTTCTGTAAGAGGATGAAAAAACATTATCTTTATGATTATTTCATTGTTGTTATTGTTGTTGTTGTTGTTAGTCTGTGGATGACTGACAATAGCCAGGGACACATCATGTACATAATCTTCCACACCTTCATCCTAAATCTAGCATCTGGTTTCTTCTGGGTTAGCAACTGAACTTGAAGGAAATGAAATGTGCTAAAGCATTTTAAACGGGTGGGCCAATTCACTCTGAAGGGGAATGAAAAGCTGAAAAGTGGAAACCTTCCTGTATAGTGCATTAAACAGCCATCACCATAAGTTACGCCCAAGCTCAGCACCTCATGGAGTAATAGTCCCAATGATGGGATCCCCATCATTGTAGTACCCATGTTTAGGGTAGTCATAAAACCTGAACTCCAGAACTCTCCATCATGCTAAGGGCATTCGAATGGATTAAGCTGTGGGAAATAGATTGCCATATAGCTCAGAGGGGTTATGGTACCCTGAGGGGGGGAATATGATGGCTGCCTCTAGGTAGCTATGTTCTGTAGCAGTAGATTAAAAAAAACTGGGCAGACTTCCATTTTTATAATGCTGCTTTGAGCAGTTCTGCAGGAAACATTGAAGCTGATGAAACTTGAACACTGACTTATTTAATAGTCAAATGATGATAATTGTCTTCTCCCTATACTTTGCCCTTTCCTCCCCTAGGCCTAGTCAATAGTTCTATTTCAGAAAGTTATAATCATACTCTTTTATGATTTTTTTTATTGACATTTTTGGGTTATTTTCACAGAACTAAAACATAGTCTTATTTCCTGGCTCCATTTTTACTATATAGATGTTTAGTGAATGGGAGACAGTACAAAGAGAACTGGACCATGATCCTAGAGAAGACCATAGGGTCTAGTTTTTGTTCTTCCACTAACTTGCTTGGTGTCCTTGGGAAAGTAATTATAACCTCTCTATGCCTCAGGTTCCTCCTCTGTAAAATTAAGATAACATTGGCCCTGATTACCTTACGGAATTATTGTGAGGATTAAATGAGATCCTTAATGTGAAGGTGATTTTTAGAACACTATGTGCTATATGCTAAACTAGGAGCTCCTTCAGAGAAGGGTATGTTTTGTTTTGCTTTGTTTTGCCTTTCTTTGTATCCTTAGAAACTTAGCACAGTGTCTGGAACAAAGTAGCTCTTAATAAATGCTTGTTGGGGGAAATGGATCAGTTGTGTAAGATAGGTATAGTAGCTATCTATTAACCAGAAATTTTGATGAAGTTGCCCTTCTTTTTTTGAAAAAGAAGGTATAGGAGAGTTTATCTTAATTAGCTAAATTGTAAGCTTTTCTGGAGGATGTACTATGTACTTAAGTACATTTCATTTCTTCCCCTCCTCCCAAATACCTCAGCCCACTCTTAGTGTATCACACATAGTAGCCTCACAATAAAGAAATATTTGTTGATGTGACGTTTTGCTGGTCATGAATCTTTCATTACCTGTCTGCGTAGCATCTTAAACTATTATAGCTCTTTGACATATGGAGGCTAAAAATTGCCTCCAGAAATAGAACAAACACTCTAAATCAGTATGAAGCACACTTTAAAAAGTTCTTATTTTTTGATGTGTTTCAAAATGTAGATTATGTCCAGTTGAATTGGCTTGAAAATTGCTAAGCAGAATTGACATTTATGTAAACCAAAAAAAAACCAAACCCAAAACCAAAAATCCAACCTATCACAACTAACAATTGAAAAAAATCACAAAACCTTCAAAACAAACTATGTTCTTAGTGGAACTCTTTGTGAGCCCAAACTATTACTGGCTTTGCAGGTTCAGATGTTCTTTGGTCCATGGGCAGGTTCATGGCTTTCTTAATGCATAGAGAACTGCAACTTGACTACTTGGTAGCAAATATTTAACTTGATTATTGTGAACAAGTCTGATCTAGAGAGTTATTAAATGGAGTTCTAATTTATAGCTGATGAAAGCAAAGAGAAGAAATAATGGTAATAATAATAATTACACATTTATAAGGCACTTTGTGGTTATAAATGGCTTTCATATATGTTATCCTTATATTCTTATAAAAATGCTTTGCAGGGAGCTAATTCTTGGAAGGATGAATCACAAAGTTAAAGTATTGTACTTAAACTTAGACTGTCACCTTTAGCAGCTAGAATATTCGCTAACAAAAGAACACTAGGAATATTTTGGGATATTCAATTGTTTCTATTATAGTTAATGTTCTTATATAAAAATCATTTCCGACTTCCAAGTGTCTAGAAACATTGCAAAAGGTACCAGGTTATGCATAAAAAATAATAAGAATGTAATGTGAATTATACAAAGTTCTTGCCAAAGCTAAGAAAACAATTATAATTCTGGTTAATCATGTGCATGCTATTAGGTAATAAAGTCCCATAGTTTAAGATTTTAGCATTTGCATTGAACATGAAAGTATGAAGTATTACATTACATTTTAGAACGACTTTTTGCAAGTTTCATGATAATATTAAAGATAATTAAAATGGCATCAAGGCAAAACACATTAAATATGTAGGCACAGAAATAAGACTATAGCAAAAAAAAATTTTGCATCTTCGATAGTGAACACCAAGCATTTATTGAGTGATGTCTATGTATACAGCAATAGTCTAAATGTCCTAGGGAAATGACTGGGTAGACATAATTGGGGGAACAAAGGCTGATATCATTGGATTATAGATTTAGAGTTAACAGAGATGTTTATAGGTCTCTAGACCACCTACTCCCTTTAATTTTATTAGGAAGGTGAGGCCCAGAGAAATCTAAGTATTTACTCGTGGTTCCACATGTAGGAAGTAGCAGAGTTGGCATTAGAACTCAGGTCCTCTTGACTTCCAAGTCCAATATCTTTTCCACTGCACCACACTTGGAGATGGAAATAAAGATTAGACCCTTGCCTTTGAGGAATGATAAGAGATAATTTTGAAGCAGTGGCAATGATTACCCATGCCAATTAGTGAGCCTTATTCCTTGAGTAAAGTTACTTTGTGTGTGTGTATAGTTGTGTGCCCCTTGTTCTGATGGTACCTCCTCTCTGGTCTTTATTCAGATTTGGGCCTTGAATGCTTTAGGCATGAAGCATTGAGATACATTCTTGACCGTAGGTTCCAGGTTATTTGCTGTAGGACTAATGGAAGACATACTTGAGGTGGTGAGTCTTGTATATCTTCTCCTACATTTTGTGATACCGAGCATGAGTTGGCAAATTCCTGATTTACATTTTATTGATCCAGAGAAATTCTTCATCAAGTAGTTCTGGGTAGCTAAACTGGAACAGACATCATCAGTTTTGTGAAAAAGGAGTGAATAGATAGAGGTGTAAGTTGGTTCCTCAGCTGTTCAGGTTATAAGAACGCAGCATTTCTCACGTGGCTCTCTTTTTTATTGGGGAGAATCTCCCAGGGAATGGGATCAGTCTTTGGCCCTGATCTTTCTTCACGCGCTCTTTGGGGTGCTTATTTGCTCTTATGGTTCATACTAGCCTTTGTATTCTCTTCTTTCCCAGACTATGTTTCTAGCCCTGATGGTTCACCAGAACTGTAACGAGGGTGGGGTGACTAGGGCGTTGACCTTGGACATCCAAATACAGAGAATGCTGACAACATTTACATTCCTTTAGCAGAACAGAAATAACTTAGCTTAGTACCTCATTAGAAAGAATAATTAAACTATGAAGAAACCTCAAGGCTCTTGATTCCTCCTCACCAATAGCCTCCCACCAGGCTGAGCTTATCCCCCATCTTGAGTGGAATAGACCTCCTGTGTTCTAGAGTCTCTGTTTCCCCTGTCCCCTCCCAAACTGAATTTGTCTTAAAAGATTGATTTGAGGGTACTTTTATTATAGCTCGTCCCTAGTATGTTTTGTAAATATTGCCGAGGATATGAAAAATGCTGGTTACATCTCTGCCTTTTACCCTCTTGTCAGCGCCATAGAAACATCTCCTTTAGGAAAGCTTTCATAATCTGCTTGCTCTTCTCCCCTTACCACAATATGCATTCACACAATGCACACAACACACACATGCACAACTAAAGATGGAGATTTAAAGCAAGAATTTTAGTATAAGGAGTACTGAATGATCCTGAGATTTTGGCTGCTGAATCCCTTAGTACAGTGGCCATTTGTGGCCCTCTAGGTCCTCAAGTGTGGCTCTTTGACTGAATTGGATTAGTATTATGTATGTGTGTGTGTGTGTGTGTGTGTGTGTGTGTGTGTGTGTGTGTGTGTTTTAAATCACCAGCAATGTATTTCCCTCATCTAACAGGAAATCCTAGGCCATGAGTTAGTTACTGCTGGGAAGTTCCCCAGACTAAAGGTTCATCATGGCTTGCAAATCATCCAGGACTTTTGAAATATTAGTGAAGTCCAAGCTTTGTCAGCCCTTAACTACAAGGAAAGACTTTGTGGATGGGCTTTTGTTGTGTGGTGACCACCTTTGCACAGTAC